ACTCCCATGGACCCCAGCAAGCTAAGAACCACTGGCTTGAAAGTCTCAACACCAGCACAGCAGTCTGAAGTTGACCTGGGCCACTAGAGCTTGGTAGGGGGAGGGGCATCCGCCATTACTGAGGCTTGAGTAGGCAGTTTTTCCCTGACAGTGCTAAGGAGGCTAGGGAGTTCGGACTGGGCAGAACTCACCACAGCACGGCAAAGCGGCTGTGGCCAGACTGCCTCTCTAGATTCCTCCTCACTGTGGGGGCATCTCCGAAAGAAAGGCAGCAGCCCCAGTCAGGGGCTTATAGATAAAACTCCCATCTCCCCGGGACAGAGAGAGCACCCGGGGGAAGGGGCAGCTGTGGGCGCAACTTCAGTGGACTTAAAGGTTCCTGCCTGCTGGCTCTGAAGAGAGCAGCAGATCTCCCAGCACAGCGCTCGAGCACTGCTAAGGGACAGACTGCCTCCTCAAGTCGATCCCTGACCCTCATGCCTCCTGACTGGGAGACACCTCATACAGGAGAGCTCTGGCTGATATCAGGTCAGTGCCCCTCTGGAACAAAGCCTCCAGAGGAAGGAACAGGCAGCTATCTTTGCTGTTCTGTAGCCTCTGCTGATGATACCCAGGCAAAAAAGGTCTGGAGTGGACCTCCAACAAACTGCAGCAGACCTGCAGCAGAGGGGCCTGACTGTTAGAAGAAAAACTAACAAACAGAAAGCAATAACATCAAGATCAACTAAAAGGACCTCCCCTCCCCAAAAGCCCATCTGAAGGTCATCAGCCTCAAAGATCAAAGACAGATAAATTCAAGAAAACAAGGAAAAACCAGCACAAAAATGCTGAAAATTCCAAAGACCAGAATGCCTCGTCTCCTCCAAATGATTGCAACTCCTCTCCCAGCAAGGGCACAAAACTGGATGGAGAATGAGTTTGACGAACTGACAGAAGTAGGCTTCAGAAGGTGGGTAATGAGAAACTCCTCTGAGCTAAAGGAGCATGTTCTAACCCAATGCAAGGAAGCTAAGAACCTTAATGAAATGTTACAGGAGCTGCTAACTGGAATAACCAGTTTAGAGAAGAAAATAAATGACCTGATGGAGTTGAAAAACACAGCATGAGAACTTCGTGAAGCATACACAAGTATCAATAGCCAAATTGATCAAGCAGAAGAAAGATGATTAGAGATTGAAGATCAACTTATTGAAAGAATACATGAAGACAAGATTACAGAAAAAAGAATGACAGTGGAACAAACAAAGCCTCCAAGAAATATGGGACTGTGTGAAAAGATTACACCTACAATTGATTGGTGTACCTGAAAGTGACAGGGAGAATGGAGCCAAGCTGGAAAACACACTTTAGCATATTATCCAGGAGAACTTCCCCAACGAGCAAGCCAGGCCAACATTCACATTCAGGAAATACAGAGAACACCACTAAGATACTCTTCGAGAAGAGTAACCCCAAGGCACATAATTGTCAGATTCTCCAAGGTTGAAACGAAGGAAAAAATGTTAAGGGTAGCCAGAGAGAAAGGTCACGTTACCTACAAAGGGACTAACAGTGGATCTCTCTGCAGAAACTCTACAAGCTGGAAGAGAGTGGGGGCCGATATTCAACATTCTTAAAGAATTTTCAACCCAGAATTTCATATCCAGCCAAACTAAGTTTCATAAGCAAAGGAGAAATAAAATCCTTTCCAGACAAGCAAATGCTGAGGGATTTTGTCACCACCAGGCCTGCCTTACATGAGCTCCTGAAGGAAGCACTAAATATGGAAAGGAAAAACCAGTACCAGCCACCGCAAAAATACACCAAAATGTAAAGACCAATGATACTATGAAGAAACTGCATCAACTAATGCGCAAAATAACCAGCTAGCATCACGATGACAGGATCAAATTCACACATAACAATATGAACCTTAAATGTAAATGGGTTAAATGCCCCAATTAAAAGACACAGACTGGCAAATTGGATAAAGAGTCAAGACCCATTGATGTACTGTATTCAGGAGACCCATCTCACGTGCAAAGACACTCATAGGCTGAAAATAAAAGGATGTAGGAATATTGACCAAGCAAATGGAAAGAAAAAAAAGAAAAAAAAAAGCAGGGGTTGCAGTCCTAGTCTCTGATAAAACAGACTTTAAACCAGCAAAGATCAAAAAAGATCTTTTAAACCAACAAAGATCAATGCAACAATAAGAGCTAACTATCCTAAATATATATGCGCCCAATACGGGAGCACCCAGATTCGTAAAACAAGTTCTTAGAGACCTACAAAGAGACTTAGACTCCCACACAATAACAGTGGGAGACTTTAACACCCCACGGCCAATATTAGACAGATCAAGGAGACAGAAAATTAACAAGGATATTCAGGACTTGAACTCAGCTCTGGACCGAGTGGACCTAATAGACATCTATAGAACTCTCCACCCCAAATCAACAGAATATACATTCTTCTCAGCACTGTATAGCACTTATTCTAAGGTCGACCACATAATTGGAAGTAAAACATTCCTCAGCAAATGCAGAAGAATGGAAATCATAACAAACAGTCTCTCAGACCACAGTGCAATCAAATTAGAACTCAGGATTAAGAGACTCACTAAAAACCGCATAACTACATGGAAACTGAACAACCTGCTCCTGAATGATTACTGGGTAAATAACAAAATTAAGGCAGAAATCAAGAGGTTCTTTGAAACCAATGAGAACAAAGAGGGAATGTGCCAGAACCTCTGGGACATGTAAAGGCCTCCCTCTCTCCTCCCTGGAGACAAAGATTCTGAGGACGCTTCTTGAAGGCACCTCAGAAGGTCTCATTGCCCACATGCATGGCCCATTCAAAAACCTCTCCTTGTATCAACTTTTCCTCCTTCCCTCCTGGATCCTCAGTTCTGCTCCTAGAATCACTTCCCACACAAACCCTCTGCACCAGAACGTTGCCTCTGGCTCTTCCTTCACAGGACCCCAGGCCACAACAGGCTACTTTAGGCAGCATCATGGCCTGCATCTTTGTGCTAAGAGTAATGGGAAGCCATTGGAGGGTTGGAAGCAGGTGCTCGATCAAATCTATATTCTTAGGTGGGCACGGTGGCTCATGCCTGTAATTGCAGCCCATTGGAAGGCCAAGGTGAACAGATCACTTGAGCTGAGGAGTTTGAGACCAGCCTGGGCAATGCGGCACACAAGGATGGTCCCAGTTACTGAGGGGGTCAGAGCCCAGGGGAGCCTCCATCAGCACCACAAAGGCACAGCCATTCATGTTGATTGGACCCAAGTCTCTAGAATACAAGACGGGGAGAGCCGGGTGGACCTGAGATATCACCTAGTCCAGCCCCCTTCTATAGCTGATGAGGAAACTGAGACTCAGAGAGGCGAGGTCTGGTGACCACAAGTGGGATTCAACTCCTGGACACACCTCAAGGTTCCTTGACCTGTTCCTGGCATCTCCTTTCGTTTTTTTATTTCTTCCCAAATTAACCTCTTTCCAACACAGCATTTCAAGTTTCCCTGGAACTTCATCGGTCCATCAGCGTCCCCCGGTCTGGAAGATCACCGGCTACTTGCCAAGGCCCCCACGACTCTGCTGCCGTCACAACCACCATCACCACCGTTACGAGAAAAACTTGAGACTGATGGCCCCCAAAGCTTGGAAGGAGCTGCGAGACCAAAGAATTGACTCGAACAAGTCCAGCTTGGTGAGTAGGTGAGTTTATTAGGACTCACACACAGGTCACTCCTGGGCGGTGGCAGGACAGCTCTAGAGATCTGCGCTTCCTCCCAATGCTAAGCTGCTTTCACGCTAATTTTCTGACTGTTTACTTATCGGGTAAGAGCGATGGGACTGTTTTCATTGATTGGTTCTCAGATACTCTCTGGGAAGTTTGAGCTCTCAGGGACACCTGCTCCTCAGCTGGGGACCATGGCCATGGCCCACCACCTGCCCTTCAGGGTTCAAGCAGGCAGGGAATACACCCTTAGTACCGTACGAGGGGACCCGTCACCAACAACCACCCAAGCGAACCATCATCAAAGAAGCA